CCTCCCTTGGAAGTCTAGTCCAGATTTTGGCAACCCTTACCATAAAGAAGTTTTTCCTGATGTCTGACCTAAATCTGCACTCTGTCAGTTTGTGGCTGTTGTTCCTAGTTACCCCAAGGGGTGCCCCGGGAAAGAGAGCATCTCCTATTCCTTGCTTCCCCACCCCGGCGATGAATTTGTAGGCTGCCACAAGATCACCTCTCAGCCTTCTCTTGTGGAGGCTGAAGAGATCCAGGGCCCCCAATCTCCCCTTGTAGGGTTTTGCCTGCAGGACCCTAACCATACGAGTGGCCCTCCTCTGAACCCTCTTGAGGTTGTCCACATCTGTCTTGAAGTGTGGCATCCAAAACTGGAAGCAGTACTCCGAGTGCAGCCTGACCAATGCCACATAGATGGGAAGTATCATCTCCTTGGACCTGTTTGTCATGCACCTGCTAATGCAGGATAAAGTACAGTTAGCTTTCCTGATCACTGCCACATTGATGACTCACGTTCATCTTGGAGTCAGCACGGACTCCAAGATCCCTTTCTGCTGCTGGGCTGCTGAGAAGGTCCTCCCCCAGCCTGCAAGTGTGCTGGTGAGTGTGCTTTTTGTGCTTGTTCTGTAGTATTCAGCCACGATTTGCTGCTTCTGTAATATTCTCATGCTCTCTGCCTGGAGTTCTTTGTCGCATAAGAAGTAGTTCTGCTCTCCATTTGCACCGCTTGTGAGAACAGTTCTTCAGTCTTTTAATAGTTGACTCCTCAGTCTACCTTCCTGTGTTGCATTGCTCACTTGAATCCCACAAGTCAGGAGTATGCAGAGCCTGCCTTGAGAAACTTCTGTACCACAGTAACTGTTTCCTCAAGAGAGGCCTGTATTCATTTGTGGTACCTTAGTATCTACTTTGAGATGTTTGTGTTCATTCCCATTACCTTATTTATCGCTATAGTCATAGAGCTTCATTATGGTTGGCACTGTGCAAATAAAGTACAAAATGTCCTTGCCCCAGAGAGTATACAAAGTGTAAGATATAAGATGCAATAATTTGAAATAGATAAGAGCACAAGAAAAGGGTGAAATGGTATGGTCAGCATGTTTAGCAGGAGTGATATTACAGAAGCATACCCTTGTCGGGTATTTTGTAGATATTACAGCAAAAAAGTATCATGTATATTGGTAGCAGTTCCCCGTCATGAGGTGGTATAGTGTGGAAGAAAGCACAAGGTTGGAAGATGAAGTGCTGGCATTTCTGTCTTAACTGACATAACAGGGTTGGCTGAGCTTGGCTAAACTTTGCCCTGTTGGTGCAGTATTAAATAAGTGACGTCACTGTGTTTTTGTTTGGGGGGTGGTGGGGGGGAAGAGAATAGAGACATAAGTTAAGGTATATGAGACATGAGCTCTAGGTATAAATAGAGACAAACTGTTGGTTGGTGTTTTTCTGTACTTCAAACACATTGGTAATAATGATGTCGAATCTCACTGCTAAAGAGCTAAAAATGAGTAACTCATAATGTTTGGTTTTGATTTCATTACTTTAGATTCCATGTAATGGAAAAGCAGCAGATCGCATCCACCAGGACGGTATACACATCCTCATCAACATGAATGGCTACACTAAGGGAGCCCGAAACGAACTATTTGCGCTCAGACCAGCACCTATTCAGGTACTAGAATCAGTGTATGGAGAACTTCCCGTGTCTCAAAAATAAGACTAAATTTCCCCCTGGAATAGGTCTTGCTCTGGAGGGACTGACATATAAGTAGAATACTGATATTTGCTTCACTTTCTAGTGTAGGTCCTTTTGAGTCTATCTGGTGAAAAATGTCTGAAAGAGAAAAACCCAACAACAAATGGGGTTCTGTGGTTACTGAATACTCCATGAATATTTCATATGGCTAAGAACAGACAAGATTTGATTACATTTTATCATGCTTTTTGGTAGGACACCTTAATTTTTTAAGAAGACTATAATGAAGCAAAAACAGAGTTGCCTCTGGAGAATTAGTCATGAGCAAAAACAGTTCCCCATAGGTTGAGTATGTGATTGTGAAACACAAGCAGGTCCAAGGAGGTGATCCTCCCCCTCTATGCGACACTGGTCAGGCCGCAGTTGGAGTACTGTGTCCAGTTCTGGGCGCCGCACTTCAGGAGGGATGTGGACAGCATCGAGAGGGTCCAAAGGAGGGCCACTCACATGGTCAGGGGGCAGCAGGGCAGGCCCTATGAGGAGAGGCTACAGGACTTGGACCTGTTCAGCCTCCACAAGAGAAGGCTGAGAGGGGGTCTGGTGGCCGTCTGTAAACTTAGCAGGGGGGGACCGGTGGGGAATGGGAGAGTCCCTGTTCCCCCGAGCACTACTGGGAGTTGCAAGGAATAACGGCCACAAGTTGACGGAGGGGAGGTTCAGGCTAGACATCAGGAGGCGCTACTTCACAGTCAGGGCGGCTAGGATCTGGAACCAACTTCCAAGGGAAGTGGTGCTCACTCCTACCCTGGGGGTCTTCAGAAAGAGGCTAGATAATCACCTAGCTGGGGTCATTTGACCCCAGCATTCTTTCCTGCCCATGGCAGGGGGTGGGACTTGATGATCTGCTCAGGTCCCTTACGACCCTACCAACTATGAAACTATATTTTGTGATTAACGGGGATCCTGGTTTTCTCTGAATAATAATAATAATAATCCCAAATTTGGGGATTTAAAAAAAACTAACCCAAAATCCACATTTTTCTGTGATTAAAATGAAACATTACTTATATTTATTAATGGCATTGTATTTTAATCGCACAAAAATGTGGATTTTGGGTTAGTTTTTCAAAACAGAAAGTTTGGGACTTTTTTTAAACACAGAGTCCCCCTAGTGATAAAGTAGCATCAAGCAGATTTAAAAAAAAAAAAAAAATCAGTGTTCACTGGATAATTTTAACATACTGATGGAGATCCTATCATGTTTATATGCAAGCCTTCTCTGTATTAATTATTTTAATTTGAAGCAGTACACTTTGAAAGATTTACTGGTAATGGGGAAACCCTTAATAGTGGGGATATCCAAGGCAGTGAAGCTTTACAAACAAACAAAAGCTTTTGGTGAGCTGGCAGTGTTCTGTGCATTTAACCTCTTGTGGATGTTTATTGGGCTTCACCAATATGAGAGTGTAACATCATGCTGAATTTCTACATATTGTACAGTTGTGTGTGAGGTGTCTTGCAGTTGAAATTACAATCGTACTTTGCCTTGTTTTGTAGGCGATGTGGCTGGGGTACCCTGGAACCAGTGGGGCCTTGTTTATGGATTATATTATTACAGACAAAGAAACTTCCCCAGTTGAGGTGGCTGAGCAGTACTCTGAAAAACTGGCTTACATGCCGAACACTTTCTTCATTGGAGACCATGCCAACATGTTCCCTCATCTGAAGGTAGGTGGAAAGTGCAGGACTGGGATAGCAAACAGTGATAAAAATCTTTTCTTTTATAGGGTCTTGTATTTAGTAGAATGTAGGGTGCACTGATAGAGATTCTAGGGGCTGATATCGAGAGCTGATTTTTAAGGAGGCATATTGGCTGAAAACGATCTGATTTCTGATACAGCTGTGTGTAGCTGGTAGGTCTGTTGTGGTGGAAGGGGAGCGGGGAGGGAAGGGGCATGGGGAGGGGGCAGATCAACACCCCCCATGGTGAGGGAGGGAGCAGGGCAGGACATGCAAAAGAGCTGCAGCTTGGCGGGGGGCAGCTCCTGCTGCTGCTTGCACCCTGGGGGGGCATGGGCCCCTGGATCTGTGCAGGGCAAGGCAGGCAGGCTGGAGCTGGGGCTGTGCCGGGTTCTTCTCGGCAGGGCCTGGGTTTGGGGTGGGTGGTGGCAGTGCTGGGAATGGGGGCTATGGTGAAATATTGGAGTGGCCCTCCCATAGCTTCCTCCTGGTGCAGCCCCGGCTCCAGCCCACAGCTGCAGCCTGCCCTCCACAGATCAGGGGGCACATATACCCCCTCCCTCCCTCCTTCCTTCCTCTTCACTCTGTGTGTGTCCATCCATCTGTCCCTCTGGATAAGCTGTGGCTCCATCCTGCATCCCACCCCAGCTGGGCAGTTTGCCCCTGTCCCCTCCCTCTCACCCTCACCATGGGGAATTTGATCTGCGCTGTCTCCTCCTCCTCCCTCCCTCTCCCCCACCCCCGCTCCTTCCCTCCCCTTCCACCACAACAGACCTACCAGCTGCACACACCTCTCCACGCTGCTGAGCTCTGCTTCTCGCCACCTATGTGCTGCGCCGCAGCTGCACGGACACGGGTATTTATCGACCAAATTATTGGCCACATCAGGCCGATTTCCGATGCAGCCAATTTTCTCTATGTTGGTGCTGATCTGATATTGGACCAATGAATTGGTGCACCTCTAGTAGAATATGTTGGTAAAGAGCTCTTGTAACTTATTCAAAAGAAACTTTTTTTTTCATTTTCTACAGAAAAAAGCAGTCATTGATTTCAAATCCAACGGTCATATTTATGATAACAGAATTGTTTTGAATGGCATCGATTTAAAGGCATTTCTTGATAGTTTGCCTGATGTCAAAATTGTTAAGGTAAGAATTCTGCTTCTATGTATTCTGTCTCAGTGGACTGAGCACAGTGTTTTCTTTCTAATGAATCATGCTTGACTTCCCTTAGATGAAATGTCCTGATAGTGGAGACAACGCAGACAGCAGCGCGGCTCTCAGTATGCCCGTCATTCCTATGAACACAATTGCAGAAGCTGTGATTGAGATGATTAATCGTGGACAAATTCAGATAACAATCAACGGATTCAATATTAGCAATGGACTAGCCACTACACAGGTGAGGCAAAAAAAGGCACTACCTTTTTCCCGTTAAACCTTTTGTTAAAATATCATTATGAGAAAAGAGCCCAGGCTCCAGACTAATGTCTTCATGACTCCCTTTAAGAAAATAAATTATTGAGGTGTACTGATATAAAGAAAATTTGCTGTATTGGATATTGGCCTGATGGGACCGACGATGTGGTCGATAAATGCTCGTGCTGTGCACAGCCGCAGCACTCGGGCAGCGAGGAGTGCAGCCGGCAGTGTGGAGAGCTGCTTCCAGCTGGCCAGTCTATTGTGGTGGAATGGGAAGGGGCATTTTGGGGGGGGTTGTACAGATTTTCCCCCCCCCAGTGGTGAGGACAGGGGCAGGCGTTGCCTGGGGGGTGGGAGTTGCTCCTGCCACTGCTTGTACCCCAGGAGGGCAGGAGAAGGGGTTGTGCCCTCATATCTGCTCAGGGTGGGGCAGGCTGCAGCCGGGGCTGTGTGGGGCTCTTCTTGTTGAGGACTGAGCTTGGAGCAGGCACTGGCAGCTCTGGAAGGATGCTGCATCCACCCCAGATTTCACCACAGCTCAGCTCCCAGTGCTACCGCAGCCCCACTCAGCTCAGTGCCCTGCCTCCACCCATGTGCCGGGACCCAGGGCAGTGCCGGGTGGCTGGCAGTGGCAGCGCTGGGAGCTGAGCTGCGGTGAAATTTGGGGTGGATGCAGGACCCTCCAAACGCTGCCGGTGCCTGCTCCAAGCCCAGCCTCTGCCTAGAAGAGCCCCGGGCAGCCCCAGCTGCAGCCTGCCCCACCCTGCATAAATATGGGGGCACCTCCCCCCACGCCTTGAGATTTTTGGGTTTTTTTTTCCCCCCCTAAAATTTGACCTCCGCTTCCCTTGCTGCACCTGGAGCCCATTGCTCCTTGTTCTGTGATCTGTCACTGCTGAGAACAGTCCAGGTCCATCCTCTTTGGAACCGCCCTTCAGGTAGTTGAAGGCTCCTGCCACATCCCTACTCAGTCTTCACTCCTCCAGACTAAAGAAGCCCAGGTCCCTCAGCCTCTCCTCACAAGTTGTTTTGACATTTTCTTCAGTGCATCTTTGTCTGAGAGTGACATAACTTGATCATGCTAGTCCTTTGCAAAGGAAAATGAGATGTCTTCAATCAGGGCTGGCCTGCATATGCACTCTGATTTTCAGGAAAATGACATTTTTCAGTTAGGTTGACTAAACATAGCTTAATCAAAAATAATGTATTTAGTCAAGATATTGTAAGATTTTAAGGGACTTTGTGAATGTTTGATCACGGGCTAGAGAACCTGCACCTACCTGCAGCCTCAGTCTATTACGCAACTTGGGAAACCTTCCTTTGAACCCACAAGGAGAGTATTTGGTTTATTTTGTTCAATTTAGACGGCCTCTGTTATAGCTAGTGCATCTACTTGAGTTGTGAGAGAGAGTTGTAAACTCGCCTGGCCTGGTCCTCTATCCCTAATAATCTTTCACAAAGTTATCTTTTGTTCTGAAATGTTTCCATAAAAGTATAACAGATTCCACTGTAATCATAATTACATAATTCATAAATTGCTAATAACTTCCCTAGTCCTTGTTCTCACTGGGGAGAAACTGAAATATATCTTGCATGCTGAGCGAGCAGTAGCCTCTAGTGCAGGGCTGTCGAATTTCTGAATGCCTGTTGAGCTGTGTGGCGGGTACCCCCCACGCACCCCCTATTGTCCCGTGACATGGCCCCCAGGCTGCACTTCATGGCA